TAACTTGGCCATAAGGTCTTGGCCTCAATCATTTATACAAAGAACTTATCAGTTATTTACTATTATCAAAACTCATTAAAAAAAAAAAAAAAAAAAAAAAACAACAACAACAACAACACTCTTATACATACAAATTGAAAGAGTAGATCAACTAAAAACTCCGCAATTTGGTTTGTTGGTAAATGCAGCACTATGCCAAACACTAAGAAAAATCAAATTTATCAACAAAAAAACATGTGAATAAATTATTAAAAGTTGTAAATATTTTATTTATCAACAAATTTTCATAGGTAAAACACTAAAATATGATATGTATGTATTCTAACTTTAGCTATTTATTTTGTTGGTAAATCTTTTGGGATTTTAATGTTTTCTTGTAGTGGAAAATTAACGTAATTACAAATGCATAACTTTATTTTATTATACTTATATAATAGTCTGCACATATTTCATGATAGGTTAGTAAATTTCGCCCTCTAATCAAATAAAAAAAAACTCATACTTTAGTTTAGGTAAAAATTTGTCATAATAGTTAAAGTTTTTACTTCAAGATGCATAAGATTTCAGGTGTTGGATAAAAGGTGTACGTGTACATATTTTTTTAATGAATGGACAAATTTGTGTAAACAAGTATTTAAATTTTGGACAAAAGAGTGACAAATTTGTCAAGGCACATTACTTTTTACTATTCACCAAATATTTTAGTAATATTATTAATTAGTAGTGGAAGGTAGTTGTTGTGAATACTTGATAGTCCAATTCTTTTGCCACAAAGCTTCAAACAATTAAATATTAATAAACTATACATACATACATACATATATATATATATACATACATACATACATACATACATACATACATACATACATACATACATACATACATACATATATATATATATATATATATATATATATATATATATATATATATATATACACTAGTTACAACGCGCACATTGCGTGAACAGTCCAATGACCAATGTATATTTTTAAATTATTGTTTTAGAATTTATCAAAATATCATTCGGTATCCCGGTAAATATTTTAAGAATGCATAAATATAACATGTGATATAATTTTCATACAAGTAACCGATGTAATAGCAATTTTAGAGGGAAACACCCTCGCTGGATTGCACCCAAGTATAATTTTTGCAACACAAAACCCTATTAATTTGTTTGATTCATGCTTCATTTGGTTGCCACTTTCGTCAGAAATGAATTTTTGATTTAATCTACTCTCCTTCCCTTGGTGTGCTTCCCTGCAATTTTAGTGCCTTGGCGCAATACATATTCAAAAACATAAACAAATCTTCTTTCTAAAAAAAACAATGATAATAGACATAGTTTCTCATCTGTGTTAAATATATACTTTAAATTATATGTATTGTTTCATCAATGGCCAGCCAATGCATTATTATTCTAATTAATTAGCCAAAATTCATGTTAAATTTTATATTATATTTTTTAATACACTCTAATATATTCATAATATATGTTTAACAATTATGTCAATTTTAATTGCGATAAGATTTAAATCTAAAACACCCTTTATGAAAATTAATAAGTTAAGAATTATAAATGCAGAGTCGTTAACTAAATATTTTGTTATTAAAATTTATACTTATGATTTTCATATGAACCCAACTATATATACATACACGCTATTTTGTTATTAAAATTTATACTTATGATTTTCATATGAACCCAACTATATATACATACACGCTTAATTATTACACAACCCCTTATAATTATCAAAGGCACATAAACCAAAAACAAAAGAATTAAAAAAAAAAAAAAACAAGTAGAAAAGAAAATGTAAATAAATATAAATAAATGCAATGAATTAATTGTTTAGTGGAATGAGTTGACATGACCCTGAGCAGAAAAATTGAAATATTCTTCACAGCACAATCAGCTCTATATTGTCAATCAAACTGATCATATTTTTCTGACATGCATCATAATAATACATCTTTTCCATTTCCCCACTTCAATTCCACTTTGGTTTTTGACTACCTTACCGGCCTTTCATTGTCTTCCCATTTTATTTTTTTCATTAACCTTACTTCATTTTTAATTTGCTGTGAATATTTATTTAGATCCTTTTTACATCAAATCCATTCCATTCCTTCGCTTCATTCTCCATCCATACCCCACCATAAACATCACAAGCTTCTATTTTTCTTTATATATAAAACTTGGATCAAATTTATTCATAAGTTGAATTTTATAGTATAGTTATGGTATGATTGATGAGTTCGTTCAAAGTTTCACCATATAGTTCGCTGATTGAGGTTGTGATAAAGGCGATAGCAGGATGATATGTAGTACAAGTATTAAGCGGAAGTCCGAAGAGTTAGATTCAGGGATTCAACATCTTTGTAGATGCCTGATATTAATTAAATTTTAGTTTTTTACATAATGGTAGATGACAAGTATTCAGATCCGAGAAGAGGATTGTTGGATGAGAGGTTTGCCTTCAATAAGTCAAACTTATACTAGTAATTTAATTTTTGTGGAATAGTTAGGATTTCAATTCATATTATTACTTTCTCCCATTCAAAAAATAGAAAGATTGTGGAACTTTCACTTTAAACCAAGTAATCAACCCAAAGTCTTAAAGCGATTCTAGAACGTTAACCAATCATAGAATTGTTGTCGGCTTAGGATAGATTTGCTCACAAAAGTATACTTAAACAATGAAGCAATGAATAAAGTCAGTTAACTCTCTTACTTCCAATCCAATTCCCCTTTCAATTGCTTCTTCCTAACACCAACAACACCACCTAAGCAACAACTAATAAACAAAAACAGGCCTATCTAGCCTCTGTGATTCAGCTGAGTTACCATGATTTACATCTTCCTAGATATTCTGTCAAGTCGGGATGTGAGGGTTCTTGAGATTGGGAATTCAACCTTTTGAGAAGAATAAACAAAAAAACAGCCCGCACAGGCAGCTCAGCTAGTCACAAGAGTGAAGTTTGAGCACAATAACCTGAGATTGAATCTCACTCATTACAATACAGTTTATTTAAAAGATGATAGGACACTGAATTCGATTACATGATAATAGATTTCGCCCTTTAAAGACGTTGCCCAACATCATGATAGTTTCCAAACTTTTCATATTTTACAAAACAGCTAAACCCTAGTCAATTATACATAAAAATATGATAAAAAAAAATTGAGTGGAAATTATATATGGATGAAGAAGAGTACCCAAGCATTCACCAAATAAAACAAGAAGCAATGTGGTATCTATCGTATATATCAAATGCTTCCAGCTTTTATCATGGAATTGTCTTTTCACATGTTCGTTAGTATATTATTGTCCTCACTATATAAATATCCACCACCACCACCTTGTACACAACTTTATACACTGCAATTCAATACAAAGGTTGTTTGTCTGTCTCTGATGATTTCTATACCATTTTCACAATACACATCAAGCTCTCTTAGCTTGTGTGTTAATAACTATGGGGTGAATTAAGGTTGTTTTTGGGAAATTAAAAGGATGTTTTTTTATTAAAAAAGAAAAAAGAAAAAATTGTTTTGTCTGTTTTCAATTGTGTGGATCTGACTAGACCTGTCTAAAATTTCAAGATTTCACTGTTTGAATTCATAGTTTGAAACTTGCATCTTCTGATCTCGTAATGAGGACCTCAAAAGCAAAAGGTGTCAAATATATTGTCTCCCATCCCAATTCCATCATCCATTATCTCAGGGTTGAAATGACAGCACCAATATAATTCTCATCCATTTTCATTCAAAAAAGAGAAGAATTGAAGAAGATGAAGAAGAAAAAGAAAAACATTCATAACCATGAAGAAAGAAAGAAAGAACAAACAAACCCTTAATTGACAGAAGAGGGAATATTGCATGTTTGGATATGATTTTTTTTCTTTCTTTTTTGTTGTTTTGACATGCCCAGAAGAAACTTTGAGTCTCTCATGCAATAAAGCTGTAAGGGTCAGACAAAAGATTTTGCAGAAATCTGCCACTCTACAGATAACAACATAATTAGAACAAGAAATTAAATGGCCTGGTTTCATTAGTATTTTATCAATTCATGTCTATTTGATTTGTCTAAGCAAAGGTTTCAATTTTGAGTCAGGACTTAAATCTGATACTACTAATTAATATAAGAGAGTACCCTAACCGAAAAAAAGATCACAATAAAATAAACAGACCTAAGTTGTTCATAATTGACTGTCTTAAACCAAAGACTGACAAAAAACTACAAAACAGTAACCTAGCCTAGGTTAGGTTCTCTACTGAAAGTTAAACTTGTAACATTATAGTCCAAGATTTAATTTTTTGTTTTGGTGTGTAGGATGGATGGGATGGTGACAAGAAATTAGTGTCAAGAAGAAAAATTGAAAAAACATTGATGAACATAACACAACAAGTAACTGTGGTTAAAAGGAAACCTAATAAAGAATTGAAGAAATTAAATTACTAAGAAACAGTATGTGAGGATGACTGCAAGTACATCTACTCCAACCATTTTCAAACAGTACAAGAAACAAACAGTACTAAATTAAATCTCCCAATACTAAGTTGTGTTTCCTCATCATCAAAACAAAGGTGTTGGGTACTCCCAAATCCCAGTCATCTTAACTTCTTGGTAGTGACAACACACTTACTATACTGTGTGTGCATTAGGGTGAACTGAGATAATAATAATAATAATAATAATAATAATAATAATAATAATAATAATAATAATACTTATTAATAAATCAGCAATTTATCTTAGAGAAATTAGACTTGGACCAATAAAAGTTTTGAGTCTACTTATACAATGAAACTCGAACTTAAAACTTTATAGAGTGAATTTTAAATGATAACTTCATAGCATGAATGTTATCAGTCAGACCGACAGTTTAAAATCCTTCTCCCAAAAAGTTGAATCCAAACCCTAACTCCCGAGGGTTAAAATCCTAACCCTAGTGGTAATAATAGTTTATCTGCGGATTAACAAAGATAAAACATGATAGTATTGAGAAAATTATAATGAATAATACTATACCCTTACATGATTAATAAATAGAGATAATGTCTGGGAAGATCTAATAGTTTTTTTTTTTTTTTTTGGTTGTTCATGGGGGATTCTAGAAAGAAGTTTAAAGCAAGAAAAGCAAGCTTGATCGGACATGATAATTTAACATTAATACTACGTAGTACACATCAGACACGCGGTGCTTCACCTGGCGGCGGCGCCGGCAGCTGCGGAGGGCGTTTCCGCTTCTTCTTCTCGTAGCTGATTCCTCTGGCTTTGGACTGCAGATCACGAACCTCCCGGAGATAAAGCCGCACGGCGCGAGCTCCGAACGGGTTCGTCTCCGGCGTGCCGCCGTTTTCCTCGTAGGCGGCACGTAGCCGGCCGATGAGGGCGTCGAGGCTGCCCCAGGCTTGCCGGAGCGGGCAGGGGCAGGGCGCCGGCGGGTTGGGGTGGCCGTAGAAGGGGCAGATTGGGGTGTGCACCTTAGTCTTCCCGAACTGGTCGAGGTATCGCAGGAACTCCAGCACGTGGGCCCCGCTGCACCGGGAAAGCGCCAGCGGCGGCCGGTGGTTCTTCAGGTACTGCCCGAACGTGTTCCAGTCACGCCGCTTCTGATTCTCGTACCTACTCGACGACGACGACGTCGCCGCCGCCGCCGCGCTCCCTCCGACAGCAACAGCTCCGGCGAAGCCGTGACTGTTATTAGCTTCAGAATTCGAACTCTCAACTTCCGGAAACGAATCCATAATATATATATATTCTGGAAGCTGTGAAAACCTGATTAAAGATCAAGAAAATCTATGAAGCTTTCTTTAGGGTTTCATATCAACCCAAAAAAAGAAAAAAAGGGAAAAAAGAAAAGAACAGAAGAAGAAGAGAGAGAAGGGAGGAGAGGTTTTGACCAGAAAAACAAGAGATCAAAAGGGAAAGGGAGCAAATTGTTGTTGGTGATTGATATATCAGAAGATTTCCATATTTGTTACAGAGACAGAGAGAGAGAAATATGAGTGTTGGGTATGCAGCACATATATATATTGGGTTTGATAGATGATGATGAGATTGATGGGAGAGTGGAGTGGGGATGGATCTGTTATTACTTATTAGTGATACATTGAATTCTTGGTTTAAGCAATGGCAGGAAATAATGTTGGGAAAGCTAGCTAGGTGGGGGGTGGGGTGGGTGGGTTGGGGTGGGGGGGGGTAAAAGAGGGTTTAGTTTCTAAAAATATGTGAAAATCCAATGGGTTTTTCCCAAAACGGGGGAAGCACACACTGCTATCTCTACTCTCCCTCATCAAGGCTTAAGGGTCAAGTCCTTCATTTTCAGAGATTGTTAGTTGGAAAGAAAAGAGAAAACAACTGTTTAGGGCTTGGCTTCTGATGAAATGTGTGACAGAGGAAGAAACACACACTCAAGTAGCTAGGAAAATGATATCTACCCTTCCAAAGTTGTTGGTTAATAGCCTGCTTCGCTGGAAGTTGGTTAATAGCCTGCCTCGTTAAAAAGTCTTAGTACGTGTCGTGTGTTTGAATTATATCGAGAGTAATAGTATGAATCTATTCATCATCATGGTACACCTGCATAATTATTTGAAATATATATATATTGCAATTTACAGTTCCACCAAAATTTAGGACAAATGGTAGCTCTGTCACAAAGACTGGACATTTAAGGATCCTCGAGTTTGGAGTGAAAACCCATAAAACAGATGTATGCTTGTCAAAATCAAGTGCTTACCCTACTATACTTCCATATTATACTTGGTACACCAGTATAATTATTTTATATATATATATATATATATATATATACACACACACACACACGCTGTATATACATTTGGCAATTTATAGTTCCACCAAAATTTAAGACAAATGGTAGCTTTCACAAGACTTTAGGACTGCGCATTTAAGGATCCTTGAGTTTAGAGTGAAAACTCATAAAACAGATGTATGCTTGTCAAAATCAAGTGCTTACCCTACTATATTTCCTTATTATACTTGGTACACTAGTATAATTATTTAAAAAATATATATAATCGCTGTATATACATTTTGCAATTTACAGTTCCACCAAAATTTAGGACAAATGGTAGCTTTCACGGAGACTTTAGGACTGAGCATTTAAGGATCCTTGAGTTTGGAGTGAAAACCCATAAAACTGATGTATGCTTGTCAAAATCAAGTGCTTACCCTACTATACTTCCTTATTATACTTGTATGTTGTTATAATAATATTATTATTATAATTGTTAAACCAAGAGTTAATTAGTTTGTTAATTAAATTAAGTAGTGGGTGGTGTGTATGCAGTATGTGGCTTAGTGTATGTGGAGTACATGGAGCATACATTCCTAATTTTTAGCTTTATTATTTTTTGAAAGGTGGCCAATAAGGCATATATTAAAGGTACTCAGAAATAGAGTCTTGAGGGACATCGTCCGAATACATAATCGTAGAAGAATTAAATGCAGTAGCCGCTAGACTATGTGCTAAATAGTTCTCTGATCTAGGAATAAAATTAACTGAACAATAATCAAAAGAAATAATGCATGCTCTACAAGCATCAATGACATAGCCAACGTAAGTCCGAACAATCTTTTTCAAACATCAATCAAGTTATATATTCCTCCCTCTCTCTCTCTTCTCAATATATAAATATAATATATAGATATTATATTTAATATATATTATAGATATATTATATTATATTTAATATATATATATTATATTAAATATATTATATTTAATATATCTAACATTTGGTATCAGAGCCAGTCAACCTTTCAACCCCGAGATATTTTCCGTAGTGAAATATGGCTGCAAATTTCAATATTGTATGGACGGGTCCCAAATTGGACGGGAAACTCGATTACAATTATTGACAAATTATGATGTCCACACATTTGCAAGCTCAAAATCTTTGGAGCTTTGTTGATCCCGGTCTACCCGAAGGAGCTGAAGCAGGCGCTATACGGCGAGATAAATTGGCCTTGGGTCAGATTCACCAAGGTGTTCATTATTCCATTTTTGGGCAATTAGCTCGTGCTCAAACAGCAAAACAAGCTTGGGACATCTTAAAGGTGTCACACAAAGGAGTCGATCGGGCACAAAAGTCTAAGTTGCAGTCGTTGAGAAGGTTGTACGATAATTGTGAGATGACCTCTACAGAAACAGTAGATGCGTATTTCACTCGTCTTATTGATATGGTGAATAAGATGAGGCTATATGGAGATACGATTGAAGATGGTGCAGTGGTTGAAAAAGTTCTTCGAACTATGCCGATGAAGTATGACCATGTGGTGGCTTCGATCACAGAGTCACACAAAACTGAGCTCTTATCAATTGCAGAGCTGAAAGGTATGGTAGAAAGTCATATTGACAGGATTGCGTCAAAATCGGAACCACTAGCAGAAGAAGCTTTGAAGAGTCAAGTCACCCTTAATGTGACTGGCACTAATCAAAGAGGTGGAGGATCTGGTAGAGGTCGTGGAAGAGGAAGAGGAGGTTCTGGTGGAAGAGGTCGTGGTAACTTCAACCAAGGAGGAGGATGTGGTAACTCCAACCAAGGAAGAGGTGGAGGTAATACCAAACAAGGTAAATTTCAATTTCATTGCTACAATTGTGGCAAGTATGGGCACAAGATTGCAGATTGTTGGTATAATGAGGACAACAATCGTGGAAATCAAGCAAACATTGCTGAAAATACTGCTGAAAAGTCTGGTGAGAATTCTGAAACCTTACTTTTGGCCAGTGATAGTTTTTCTGCTGATAAGAACATATGGTTCTTGGATACTGGGTGTAGTAACCATATGTGTGGGAAGAAAGAATTGTTTTCCGAACTAGATGAATCAGTCCGGTCTGAAGTAACGTTTGGCAATAAGTCAAAGGTGCCAATTTTGGGAAAAGGTAAAATCTCTATTCAGTTGAAGGATGGTACTCACAATTTTATATCCGATGTGTTCTATGTTCCTGAACTACACCAAAATTTGTTGAGTATGGGTCAGTTGTCAGAAAAAGGATATAAGATACATATTGCTCAGGGGTGTTGTACCATTGAAGATGCTAAAGGAGTTTTGATTTCAAAGGTAAATATGTCCCAAAATCGACTATTTCCTTTGAAAATTAAGCATACTCTCCTTGATTGCTTTAATTCTGAAGTTTGTGATGATAATTGGTTATGGCATATGCGGTTTGGGCATTTTCATTTTTCTGGATTACACTATCTTGCGAGAAAGGAACTTGTTTCTGATTTACCTGTTGTGAATGTCCCTGATCGTATATGTGAGATTTGTGTGATTGGGAAGAAACATAGAGATCCCTTTCCCATGGGCAAGTCAAGGAGAGCTACAAAACAGTTGGAGATTATTCACTCAGACCTATGTTCGTTGGAGGTTCCCTCACATGGAGGTTGTAAGTACTTTATTACTTTCATTGATGATTTAAGTAGAAAAACATGGGTTTACTTTCTGAAGCAAAAGTCTGAAGCATGTGATATTTTCAAACAATTTAAGGCTTTTGTTGAAAAGCAAAGTGGTTATGAAGTTAAAATCTTGAGAACTGATAGAGGTACAGAATATATTGCTTGTGATAATTTTCTGAAGGAAAAGGGTATTCAGCACCAAATGACAGCCAGATACACTCCGCAACAAAACGAAGTGGCTGAGAGGAAGAATAGGTCTATCATGGATATGGTGAGGTGCATGTTGAAATCCAAGGATCTGCCTAAACCTTTTTGGGCAGAAGCTGTTGCTTGTGCTGTCTATGTGTTGAATAGGTGTCCAACTAAAAGTGTCTGTGATAAGACGCCCGAAGAAGCTTGGAGTGGGAGAAAACCCTCTATCAAATATCTCAAGGTTTTTGGATGTTTGGCATATGCACATGTGCCAAATCCGTTGAGAAAGAAGTTGGATGATAAAGGTGAGAAGTGCATATTCATTGGTTATAGTGACGCTTCAAAGGATTATAAACTCTACAATCCTGAAACTAAAAAGGTTGTTATAAGTCGTGATGTCACTTTTGATGAATATGGTGCCTGGGATTGGTTAGCTAAAGATGAAAGTTCAGTTGTTATTCCTGTTGTTGAAAATATTGTTGATGAGCAACCGATTCCAGATAATGTCCAGTCTCCTTCACAGCCAGAATCGTCAGTTCGACAATCTCAGCGCGAGCGCCACTTACCAGCTCGCTTGCAAGATTATGTTTTGGGTCATGATGATGACCTGTCTGATGAAGAGATTGTTCAATTTGCTCTCTTTGCAGATTGTGCAGTGATCCTTTAACTTTTGAGGAGGCTGCTACAGAAACTCATTGGCTTAAGGCGATGGATGAGGAGATACGTGCCATTGAAAAGAATGGTACCTGGGAGTTAACAGATTTACCTCCTGGGAAGAAGCCAATTGGAGTAAAGTGGGTTTACAGAACGAAATACAAGTCAGTATATCCAACTTGAAGACGAAGACATTTCTTAAATTGAAGAAGGAAATTGGGATGACCAATATATCCAACTTGGTTTAAAGGAGGCAATGTTATAATAATATTATTATTATAATTGTTAAACCAAGAGTTAATTAGTTTGTTAATTAAATTAAGTAGTGGGTGGTGTGTATGCAGTATGTGGCTTAGTGTATGTGGAGTACATGGAGCATACATTCCTAATTTTTAGTTTTATTATTATTTCTCCTTTACTATAAAAAGGCTGTGTATCAATCTTTTTCAAACATCAATCAAGTTATATATTCCTCCCTCTCGCTCTCTTCTCAATATATAAATATAATATATAGATATTATATTTAATATATATTATAGATATATTATATTATATTTAATATATATATTATATTAAATATATTATATTTAATATATCTAACATATGTATAACAGCCAACACCATACTTTGAATTCTTTGCCCACACCAATAAGTGAATAATGCTGAACTTGAACATCTACCTAATAGTACTTCTGAAGAGTAAAACACCCATCGTGCATTCTAATTTTATTGGAGAAAAAAATATTTTTTTTTAAAAAAATACAACTTACATTTTTTCTAGATTAAATAAAACATGAAAGTACATGCAATAGTTCACAAAAATATAAATTTGAGAGTTAAGACTGGGCTGGCAAAAGTTCAGTGTATGGTGTCTGCAGTACTAATAGACCAGAGGTCTGGGCACCAGTCATCCCTTTCCATTTTCCAAGCTTATATTTTCAAGAACACTACCTGACCTAATAATTTATGTGTAAAATCACATATCTTTATGAACTAGTTGTTTTAGTACTCATAAATTTAAGGCATATTAACTAGCCATCCAATACAAATGTTGTACAAACAAAAAGATTAAGGTCGGGACAAAGTTTACAGCCCTCCAGCGCTGATTGGTAGATTG